GGACGCAAGCCATGGTCTCCAGACCGATTGTTCTTGAGCAGCCACCATATCAACCATAGTAACCAGCATATCAACAATAGCATAGGTAATCAGTAACAAGATGTCGGCAGGTACAGCATAAATCACATTCTAAAACAGTTGCTACAAACAATTGAAGCTAAGCGTGTGATTAGTTTCATAACTTCTTTCCCAAGCATCTAGCCAGCCAGGGATTTTCCACTGGCCCATAGTTCTATATTCAAAATGGCTTCAGTGTGGCTACAGTACACGGCTCCTGACACATATATAGCACATACATGGCTCATTTGGGGTTGAAACCTAGCCTAGTCCATCCCACATCTACCCTTGTCCTCCAGAATACCAGAAGGTGTTGGAGTCTGACCCTGCCCTTTGTGTCAAGTCCCGGTCCACACTTGTGCCAAGGGAGAATACAACTGTATCCCGACCAGAACGCAGCCCCATTCCAGCCTGTGCATCCCTTGGTGGGATCCTCCGCCCAGCCCGGGTCTCCCCGCAGCTCCACAACCGGGCTGTTCCTAGCCAGTGATAAGTGTGCCACTGGTTGCTCTGGCTCAGCTCGTCACAGCCCGTCCCCTGTCACAACCTCTGCCTTAGACATTGTGGCTCTTTGTCCTTGGCTCTCACAGACCAATTGGTGCAAGAACCTAGCTGGGCATGTCTTGTGGTCCATCTTGGTTTCTAATTTAACTTGTGGGCTAAGGTTTGCTCAGTACTGTCCAGGGTGCCCAACCCTTCACCTTTCCATATACTGATGAGACACTGGAGCTACTTTGCCCAGTTTGTCCAACCCCCAGGTCTGGACCACATGTTCACCAGTGGGAGCTCTGTCTCACCAGGGGAATTTCCCAAGTCTCTCCCTCTTTATCCCCTCCCATACCGAATTCTCATACATGCCATTGAGTTTAGGATGATGCCCGGCGCAGACTAACTTTCCATTTGGCTGTGCATGAGTTGGTGAACGTAGCAGCCTAGCCCACCATGTACCCTATTCAGGATGGACATTTGGGTGCTGCTGCCTTGACTTGTCCAGACTGTTATCTGTGGTTGATGACAGGCTCCTTGGTCATACCCAGCTTAGACCGTCACCATCCCAACTCATAAGCTAATCAGTGGTGTTAGAAATGCCACAGGGTGTGGCCCACACATCCTCCACACAATCTACCCCCTGATATGGTTCTCAAATGCTAGTTAACGTCATTGCACTGCTTACTGTGACGCCTCTCCTGATCCATCATCACGTCAGGTAATGGGGACATCCTGCTTGGATGCCTGGAGTCTTAACTTTTGAATGAACTGGTGTTCGGTGCTCAGCATTATTAAGTAATTACAGGTTCTTCAGAGGAAGATTTACTGTCATTGAGAATCTTTAGGATTGATTCACGGACCCAAAGCACTGTGGGTGCAGCATGGAGCTACCGAGACAGCGAATTAAAGAACCAAAACCCCAGAGCTCCCTGGCCGGGCAGCAGCAGCCAGAGCCTGGTGCCAAATGGCACATTGGCTGCCTGGGAGCATCTCACCACGTGCACATGGTGGCTGGTGTGTGTGATCCAGGCATGAGACGCCCCATCCTGGAAGCTCCCTGGGTTTTGTTTTAACCCATTTGATTGATGAGTTCAATCCTTTTACATTTAAGGTTAATATGAATGGGTGATAATTTGGTTCTGTCATTTATCAATGGGTTGTTCATGACTTAGTCTTCTGTTATTTTACTGGGATGTTCTTCATATTTGTCTTTGGTTTCGGTGGGTGCTATTCCTCTTCTCTGTCAAGAGAATATCTTGAAGTATCATTTGTAGGGCAGGTTTGGAAGAGGCATATCCTTTAACTTTTCTTTACTGTGGAAGATTTTTATGACATTTTCAAAGACGAAGGAAACTTTTCTGCATACGTTATCCGGGGTCGACAATTTTTTTCTTTCAGAATCTAGAATATGCTGCTCCATTCTCTTCTTGCCTGTAGAGTTTCCTGTGAGAGATCTCCTGTGAGTTTAATTGGCATTCCTTTATGTGTCAGTTGAATTTTTTCTTCATGAGCACATTTAAGGATCTTTTCCTTATGTTCAGTTGAAGAGAGCTTGATGATCATGGGTCATGATGAAGCTTGCTTTTGGTCAAGCCTGTTGGGAGTGCTGTGCCCTCCTGGATGTTGTTTCCAATTCTTTCTCTAGATTAGGAAAAATTTCCCTTAATATTTCATTGAATACACATTTAATCGCAACTTCTCTTTCTGTGCCTTCTGGGACTCCCGTAACTCATATTTGGCCTTTTAATAGTGTCTTTCAATTCCTTGAATACTTTTTTTGGCCTGGTCCAGCTCTGCTTTGTTTACCCCTGGTGACAGGAAATATCTTCTAATTTTGAGATTCTTTCTTCTGCCTCCTTCATTCTATTTTGGAGACTCTCCACTGTGTTTTTAATTTGCTCTCCTGTATTCTTCATTTCTGATATATCAGCTTTCATCTGGTTCATTTCCAGTATGACACATTTCTTCAATTCCTTGAACCCCTGTATGATGTGCTTCTCGTTGTTGACAAGAAGTTTTATAGCAAGTGTTTTGAATTCTGTGTTCCAGCTCTGCCAGATGGGCCCCCAGCCCTAGCTTTAGTGTGAGCCAGTGAGTGGTAGTCAGCAGTGTCAATGCTAACTAGCCCAGCTCAGGTGTTCCACCTTGCTTTGTGCATTGGTCTGACCCTTCAAGTTCCCCCCATTCCCCCCTCTGAGCCACTCGGTCTTAGCCCCCTCACTTACAAGCAAGTACAATAGCCTTGTCAATGGAAGTCCCTCAGTAGTCGTTGCTCACCGCAACACGCTCCCTCACTGGTCCTCCCTCCCACACATCTCACCTGCTTCCCTGGGCAATCTCCCTCCTCTGCTACGGTGACAGAAGTCCTTCCAGGCCTCAATGGGCTGCCATATCTTCTTTTCTTTTTTCACAGATTCTTTGTTTGTTTTAATGATTTATTTATTTTTATTGGAAAGGCAGATATACAAAGAGGAGGAGAGAGAGAGAGGAAGATCTTTCCTCCAATGCTTCACTCCCCAAGTGACTGCAACAGCTGGAGCTGAGCCAAACCAAAGACAGAAGCCAGGAGCTCTTCTGGGTCTCCCACACTGATGCAGGGTCCCAAGGCTTTGGGCCGTCCTCGACTGCTTTCCCAGGCCACAAGCAGGGAGCTGGATGGGAAGTAGGGCCACCAGGACTAGAACCGGCATCCATATGGGATCCTGGTGCATGCAAGGTGAGGACTTTAACCACTACGCAATTGCGCCAGGCCCCTGCCATATCTCTATAGCAACTTCATTAAATTGAACACTTTGCATTTTTGTGTCCCTTTGTGGTTGCCAAGTGCTGTGGTCCAGGATTTGTCCTGTTCTTGCCTTTTACTTAGAAGCACCTTAAGCACAGGCACCAGCAAGGTATAAACAAGTGTAGACCATGAGAAACGGAAGAAACCTTGCAACACAGACTAAAGAGGGAAGGGAGAGAGATTGATGCATTGTGCCCAAAGGCACACTTGTTCTGAGTGTGCAAGCAGGACAGACACTGCCCCCGGGGGAAGAGAGAGAGAGAGAATGAAGGCCAACCAACCAACTGTGCCCAGGCAGCCAAAAGGCCGAACCGGTCATCACACTGGAGAGAGGAGAATCAGCCACCACAGGCACCACACCCCCTACCCCAAATCCTACCTAGTGATGGAGAGACACGAGTGGGTGAAAAGTATTACACAGCAGGGGAAGTGTAGCTTCCATACTCGTGACCCTGAGACAACTGCCTGCCTAGACCATAGCAAAGCCAGAATATCTGACACAAGCAACTCCAGTGCCATTTCCAATTATGCATGGGACACAGAAGCGTACATCACAGACACACATGTCACACACAGGAAAAGCGATGGGACACAGTAGCGTAGAATCATATAGGAGTCCTCCACAAACTTGTCTGTGGCAGCAGAGTGGTATTTAGGAACACATGGAACGAAGAGTTAAGGAAGATGAATGTACCATGTACACATACGAGAGAGAGAGATACCTGCGGACGAGTGGCCTGGGACAACATACACACCAGCACGTGGTAAAGCTTTATTAGAGGACTTTCCATGAAGCAAGCAAGGCAACTACGTTAACAGGAGATGTGGAGGGCTGCTTCTGACCATGACATCTAACCTTGTGCAGAGACTGGGGGTCAGGACACGTGATCACACACACTGGTCTCCTGTGTTGGGGACGTCATGTCCTCCTACAGTGCACAGGAAGAGGGTTTGAAGGGGAGGAGAAGGGTGGAGCTGGGTGGGCCTCCTGGTCCCTAGCTGGCCCTCAGCTGGCCAGAATGCCCAGACTCGCCTTGCATGAGTTCACAGCTGCCTCCCTGTGCCCCCATGGTGGTTTCTAATGCCTTGTCCTCCTAGGTTGACCACAGGCACCTATGAGCAGAGCCACCAGGAGAGTGGGAAACCCAGTCTATCCGTGCTGTTGCCTGGACACAAACCCAAGATGACTGCCAGCAGTTACCTGCATGTGAGGCCCCAGGCCGTCAGCAAGCTCAGGAGCTGAGCCCCAGCACAGCACTAGTGGCTGACAGCGAGGCCCACAGCACGGGACGTGAGGTGCAGCCATGTGACTGACCTCAGAGAGCTGGGCACTGTCAGCTCCCTTGACATGCTGGTTTCTCCCTGTAAATGGCTGTCAGGACTCCACCACCACACACAGGCATGGCAGAGGGCAGAACAGTGAGATGGCAACACACGGGAGGTCTCAGGAGACTTCAGGAGCCCTACCAAAAGGGATGAGGTCACACACCGAGGGCACTGCCTGCTGCAGGCCAGAACCTGCCACCAGGGTGTCCTGATCCACTCTGCTGAGCCAAGTCTGGCAGGCTGGCACCTTGTTGGGGTTGGATTTAGGCAGGGTGCTCAGGGGTGGCAGTGTGAATCCAGTAGAGGGAGGCAGGTAGCAGAGTGGGGCCCTACAGAGGGGTGACTAGTTGACAGGACGCAAGGTGACCAGGGGATAGTTGCTGGGCTTCATGACAAAGTGGTAGACCATGGTCATATCTTCTTGGGACTGTGTCTCCAGCAGGAAGGACTTCAGCACCTAGGACAGAGGCATGGCTGCTTATGCTCACTGAGCATCCCAAGTCCTCAATAAGCTGTTGCTGCTGGGGAAGTGTGGCCCATGGCCCAAGGAGTGAGCAGAGACACCCCTGACCCCAACCCACACCAAGATCATTTACCCACGACCCTTTCCACTCCCAGACTCCCCATGCCAGCTCACGTGGTGCATCAGCAACAGCATCTCCACCTCTGCCAGGCGGCGCCCCAAGCACTGGCGCACCCCAAAACCAAAGGCCACATGCTGGAAGGTTCGACCTGGGCCTCTGTGCAGCCAGCGCTGGGGGTAATAGCGCTCAGGCCTCGGGAACACTGCAGGGTTGCGACCCAGTGAATAGAGATACACCTGGACAAGTGTCTGTGGACAGGGCAGAGGTCATGTCAGCTTCTGCTGAAGGCAGTGTGGGAGGAGTTCAAGCTTAGAAGGTGAGGGGTCACTCACCCCAGCGGGGATGTGGTGGTTCTGCAGCACCATGTCTGAGCTCACTTTTCGATCCACAGTCAAACCCACCGGGTACAGCCTAGGCAGGAGCACCATCAGGGCACTCAGGGTGCCATGTCCCTCCCCATCCTGCCAATCCAAAGGTCAAAGGGCAGGGCAGCTGGGGCAGCCAACTGGCCAGGACCCACCTCAAGGTCTCCTTGAGGGCTGCCCGCAGCAGGGGCAGGTCTGAGAAGACCCTCTGGGGATTGGCAGCAATGGTGGCGGTGGCTGCCAGGCTCTCCTGGCGCAGGGCCTGCTGCACAGGGGGGTTCCGGGCGAGCTCAAAGATTGTCATCAGGATGGACAGTGCAGTCTGCAAGAGTCCAATGCACAGGGCTCAGGCTCTGACAGCAGCCAAAGGTTTGCTCATGTCCCATGTCAAGTGTAACCACCTTCCTGAGATGGTAATATCCATCAGGCAGACATCCCAGGGCATCCCCTTAATGAACTCATGGTCTTATTCCTGCATCCCTGGGAATGGAGGCCCATCCCAGCCAGAGTCTCACTCTGCCCCAGCCTGTGCACGATTCGAACTTCAACCTCTTCTACAACTAGAAGAGTCTCTCCTCTCCTCAGAATCCCCTGGAAAGGGGCTTGTGGAATCCCGAGTTGCGATGGTCACAGCCCCTGTGTCCTGGCCTCCCTGGGCTGGCCTAAAGGGCCCATCACATGCCCACAGTTCTGCTTGGTCTGTTCAGCAGCAGCAAGGGGCCTGATCAAACACACACCTGGCTTGGGCAGCCTCGGGGTCTCCGTGGCACAGGTACTCTGCTATGTCCTGATACAAAGGTGGCCTCCTCCCATCCCTGCCCACAGCAACTGGTCATCTGGACCCACTCGGTCCTGGGCTCTGATGCCACCCTCAGGGATTCAGGGTCCTCCTGCTGCCATGACTGCCTCCCCTAGAGCTGAGCACCCAAGGGCAGGGATCCTTCCTGGGAGGAGCCTCTGCCATGCACCCAGCTGACTCCACATCTCTTTATTCTGCACCCTGGCTCACTCCCTCCCAGGTCTGGCCTCTCAGAGGCTGCATTCTCCTCCCCCCCGGGTCAAGGTCCCTCTGCAGGAATCTGGAAGGACTGCCTGTAGTTGAGGACAACAGGGCTCCAGAAGACACAGAGGCTGCTGGCGGCCTTGGTTTGGGGGACAACACCCATGCCTCAGGTGGGCTTCCCCGCCAAGGTGGGCTGATTTCTGCCTGACCGTGTCCACGCTGCCTGCAGTGAGTTCTAGGGAGTTGGCCTTGATGGCATCAGGTGACAGTTCTGCATCCAGCAGCAGCTCAGCCACAATGCCCCTGTAGTGTCCATCGCGGTCAACTCTCAGTTCCTTGGAGATGTTCTGCATGCGTTGCTTGGCTACAGAATTTAGGAAACAACAAGCCTTCCTCTTTAGCAGAGCCTCCTCCTGCTCCATTCCCACCCCTTCTCCTGCTCTGTTCCCACTCCTTCTCCCTGCTCCATTCCCACTCCTTGGCTCTCCTTAGTCCATCATAAAGTCTCAGGTCAGCAAGCCCAGCACAGCCTCTAGCCAGCTCTGTGGCTGGAGCAGGAGTAATCCATTGCACCATGATGTCCAAACCCTTCCCAAGGTAGGGGCCTTGGATGTGGCTTCCCGGGCCTCACCATGGTGGGCAATGTGGTCCCAGGCCTCAAAGTGCTCCCTCCACACGTGGGTACTGGTCCAGCGGGACAAGCTCCTGGGCAGGAACATGAGCTCCATGGTGGATCTGAACATGGTGTCCAGGGCACGGAGGAAGCTCAGGCTCTCGGAGCTCACGGTGTGGCCAAGCAGGCCCAGACGCTCCCCGTAAAGGGCAAGGTTGCTGGCTGCCGAGAGGACAGACCTGCTGTGGGGACGCAGTCCTGTTGCCAGCCACCAGCTGCCCGCACCCTCCCTCCCTGCCCCCACCTTCTATGGTGTAGTTCAAGATGCTGGGCTGGAGGTCCAGTGTCAGACTGCCTCGGGCGTTCTGCTGCACCTTCTGCTGCAGGACCTGCACAAACTCCCTGGCCACTGTGTCCACCATGGGAATAAACCTCTGCACGGCCTTTGGTGAAAGCACGTTTGGGTTCAGCCTCAGGCGGTTGAAGCGCCATTCGGGTCCATTCCTGCAGGGTGGGAGAAGAGCTTGGGGCTGCCCCAGCGTGCAGCAGGCCCCTCGTTAATGCCTCTCCCATCCCCATGGGAAACCAGTAAAGCAGGGCCGATGCGGGCGGCTCTCCCACGCACACTGGATGCAGGGTGGGTGTCTCAATGCAGCAGGAGGCCCGAGGCTCATGGGGGGTGCATGAGTGTATGATGGCTAACAGCCTCCTCAAGCAGATGAAGAATGTGGATATGAACTCCGGGAGGCCCAGCGGCTTCCCTGTGAGATGAACTCAGGGCAGCCTAGCAGCACACTGAAGACGCCCAGGAGAGGGCTGGATGGCCACATGAAAAGCAGTGAGCCCCAGGCAGGGAGTGCTAAGTGGGTCATCAGCGGGTTCTGCCCAGACACTCTGGAAGCAGGAAGGAAGTGGGCTGATGAACTTCAAGTGCCTCGACCCACCAACAAGAACCCCATTTCCCTGCAGAGAGCCAGCCTCTGAAGTGCAGAGAATGTCAGAAATGTATAAAGGAACAAATCCTGAGGAGGGTGCGTGCTGCACTCCTGCTTAGCCAGCCTCCCAAAAGATATCAACGAAATCACAATCTTGGGGAGTAGTTTCCTTTTGGTTTTTGTTTTTGGAGACTCTGCTGGTGAAAGTGGAGAAACTAGAGTTGTGTTGTTCTGTTGTTAGAGACAAACCTTTAGGACCTCCAGATTTGGCCTCGAAAGCCTATTCAAAATGTTCTGAATTGGAGTTTGTTTTCTTGTTTTTGTATCTGCCTCTGTTTCAGGCAATACATTTAAATCATTCATTAGCCCAAAAATATCATTATTTTATCTGTGTGGTCAGTACACCATTTTAGATTCTTCAGTGCCTATCCCTGCGTGATGCTTTTGTCAGGTGGCTTGTGAATATATAAGGTGGTGACCACCAGTGTTTAAGCATGTGGTGACCGAGGCCCCTCCCTAAGCTGGGCTTCTGGTCGTTGCATGGACCCTGGCCCACCCACCCCTCCCTTCGTACCCTCCCTGAGCAAGCTGCTACTGCTGCGTCGGCACCACCAGCCATCCCCGAAGACAGCCTGCATCGTGCTGACCACCAGAGGAAGGAGAGTAAAGGCCAACATGGTCTCCCACCTTCAGGGACCCTAAGTTCCCAGGAGATTACCGTCTTTCCCTTTTCCTGACGCCTGCTAGTGGCAATGTATACGTGGATAGGGCTCACAGTGTGCAGTGCTCAGAGAATGCATACAAACACACACAGAGGTGTGCTGGGGGTCCACTCTGTCCAGGCTGCCCTTCCCACCTCCCTCCTCATCCTAAATGCCCACTCACAGCAAGAACACGCCGCATTTCTGCCCACGGTGCTGTCTGTAGGCCACCCAGGGTTCTGGAAGCATCCGCCAGGGCTGCTGGGTGTCCACCTGATGCAGCCGCTCCACATCTTCTGGCATCATCACAGACACTGCTTGTCGTCCCCCCATGTCGTATCTGCAGGCGAGCACAGAGCCTGCTGGGGGTGCACCTCAATGGGGTCCCACACGCTAAACCCCCACAGGCAGCCCCTCCTGGCCCACTGCTTGGTCTTGAGCCCAGCCTGCGCCCAGTCCTCCTGAACAACCACAGTCCCCCCATCGGGCCCGACACTGCTCCCTGGCTCCCTAAGAACACTCAGTACAGGCTGCCCTGGGCACTGGCAGTCCTGGCTGCCTGGCAAAGCACCCAGCCGGTGGCCAGGCAGGCCTGTACCTGAAAATGGGCCCCAGCTCCTGGAAGTTCCGGTGCATCTCCAGGTGAAGGTTCTCATAGCCCTGCTTCTTCCACATCTGCAGCATCTGCAGCCACTTGGAGCCGGGGCACTGCGGGATGGCTTCAAAGGGCAGCACCATCTTGGGGGACACAGCTGCCCTGGTGCTCAGTGTCCGCGTCCCTCGCAGGGACAGCCGGGACCCTGCCATCCGCATGGCTGCCCTGGCCCTCAGCATCACTTTGAGACGCCCCCGGTCTGCTCAGCTCCGGTCCTTTTAATTGCTGAGAGCCTGCACTTGGAAACTGATCACGTCATGGAAGAAACTGTCCCTGAGTCCTCGTCAAAAATGCAGGCAATGGTCAAGGTCGAGAGTGGCCCAGCCCAGGTGGGAATGAAACCGGTTGCTACCCCGCTGCTCTCCCTGCAGAGCCTACCCTAGGGATGGGAATGTGAGGGCATCCATGGGCTGCAGTAAAGGGGTTGATGTGGCTGTCAGGCCATATGTCACAGACTTCTCCCCCACTCCCTGTGGTTGTGGGGACCAAGATGGATGACACCTTTATCTTATCAACAGATGGGAGATCCTTGGAGTCTTTTAATAGACTTTGCTTTTCACCGACCTCTAAAAACACAGTTCTGAGTATGGTGATGGACATTAAGTGCTTATGATTCTCTCTTAACAAATATGAAATGTCTTAACTATGGAAAAGGAAGTATTTAACTCCCAATACAAGGAAAAACAGGATGAATGCTCATGACATCATTTCATGCCTTGACCAACACCTGTGAATTCTTCCCCCTTTTCTTCCTTCTCAAAGCGACTTTGCTGATAGACTGCAGCGCAAGATGCCTGGCAGTGGCTAATGGCTGTCTTCCAACAAGCCCTCCCTCGGGCCTCCCTCGTGAAACACACCCCAGAGCCTCCAAACAGAAAGCCCTGCCTCCTCGTCCCCAGCAGGAACAAAATACCGAACTCATCCACAGAATTTCCAAACGGAGAGAGAGAACTCATTGATCAGTAGCCATCCTTTCAGAAAGTAACCTGTGTATCCCTCGGGCCACAGTGCATGCCAAGCACTGAGAACGCCGTAGCAGGAGCCATCCCCTGTGAGTTAGTGGAAATCATTACCTGCAGAGGTCCAAGGGTGCTGTCAGTGTTCTGGGTGTTAGGAGCATCCATCTTGGAAAGCTGACTTGCTCTGTACACTTTTGTTCCCTGAACTAAGCAAGCAGAGAATTCCTCTGTATTCCTGCTCACCACTCCCAGTGTCCTGCAGGGCAGAGACACTTCTGCGATGATTTTGAGTCTAGATGATGCATGACTATCGCCAGCATCCTGGGATCCCTAGGGCTTCCTTTTGCTGGGGCTCATTCTGAGGTTTTGACAAACATTGCAAGATAGGTGTCCTTCACTGTGGTGCTCTGCCTGAAAAGCCCCTGGGATCTGTCCATCTCCATGCTCTCTCTGGACTGCACCAGATCCAGCATCACACAGTCTTCAAGGCTTCCAGGTTCCGTGGTCTGTTTATGGGTGGACATTTCACTTCTGTTGCTCAGGATGTAGTGCCGGCTATTTATTCACCTGTTAACGAGCTTCTTGGTTCCTTCTACATTTAGGAAATTAACAAAGGTGCCAACAGGCAGCTGCATGGATCTCAGCATTGAGCCAATTTCCACATGAACCAAGGAGAGGGCGTCTCTGATTTTGTCTTCCTAAGAATGTGCAGCACCTTGCGCTTTGCACAACGGTGCAATGGTGTCCCCATCGCCCCATGTCTGTCTTTGCCTCTTCTCTCCACAGGTGGGTGGTGATAGCTTGCTCCTTGGCTAATTGGCAGTTACTGTTAGTTATTTTAAAAGGTTCGAGTTCTTAGAGTTCTTACGTTATTACGCCAGCTAATTCCCGCAGCCTGGTTCTTTTACCATGAGCCAAAAATACCAGACGCAACCAGATGCTTCCAAAAACACCAAATACAACGAGGCACTTTAGGAGGTTTATTCCAGCAGGGCAGGAACGGGACGAAGATGGTGGGAAGAGCAGTGAGGAAAAATGAACATGGAGGCGCCTCCATCGGGCAGGAACAGGACAGAGGTGGGAACAGGACTGAGGTGATGGTAGGGCGGTGAGGGGAAGGCCAGATATAGATACCTGGGGCTCATTATGATCAGGTGGGTGCACAAGGCACGAGATTGGGAGGGATTGAAGGCAGGCCCCAGGGGATTGGTGCTTACAAATGAATGCCTGAGGATAACTGGTAAGTGGGTGCGGTTGAGGAAGGGACTGGGACATGGGGGTGAGATGCTCACGTGAGGCTGGATTGGCTGATTGATGAACAGGTGAACCAGCGTGAATCTTACAAGCTGTGAAGAAGAGAAAATGACTCCGGGTCCAGGATGACCGGGTCTCGGTCTCCATGACGACCTTCAAATCGCTCCTTAGAGTTACCTCACAACATATTTCGACCATTTCATTTGCTTACTTGTCATCTGTAGGTCAGCTCCGGTGACAGGGCTGCTCAGATCACTTGCCCACCTGTATGTTGCATGTTCACTTTGTTGTTGTGCAGTGGAAGGAGTTCCTCATATAATCGGTGTAGTAGTCCAGCATCAGGTACCATGTGTATAAATGTTTTCTCTGGGTTTGCGATTTACCTTCTGTTTCTTGTAGATGGTCTTTCAGAGAGTGAAACGTTTTCAGTAACCATGAAGGCAACATCTTTGTCATTGAAACTTGAAAGTTGCCAGCAAATCCAAACTCATGTATAGTTTCTCTTATTTATCCCCCTAGGAGTTCTGTTTAGGTCTATAGTTCAGATTCCTTAATTTGTGTGATGATTGGAGGGGCTGTGTCTTTATTTTATTTTTGCATGAAGATATCTTATTGTGCTGACACCATTTATTTTCAGAATTACTCATTTCCTTTTTAATATTGTTTACGTACTTGAGAGGGACGCATGCTCATGTGGACCTCCAGTCAGGGTGGGGAGGGCTGTGTCCACAGGGAAGGAGGAGTAGGTGACCACTCCTTGCTGTCGAGCTGCATCAGCACTGGGGTTGGGGAACAGTCATTTGATTTTGCCTTAGAGACCCCAATGTGGGGAACAGTGTTCCAGGGAATTGCTTGGCATTGAGACATTGCTGGCTTTGTGTGCCAGGATTGAGAAGATCTCCCCAAGATCTACTGGCTGACTAAGTCCACCTTGGTCAAGAAATTGTCCAACCTCTTCTGCTGTTCACCCTCTTTCGAGGCACCCAACATCCTCTGCCAACCTAGATGAGCTACTGTGGCTGGGGTTTGAGTCCAGTGGTCTAGCTGAGGAGTCCCCCAAAAAACCTTGCCTGGGGTTCGAAGAATGGAACTTGCATTATTTTTAACATATTGTTTACCCAATACTATGTCAATTAATTCCATAATGTTGTATATTGATACTGAGGTTTTGTTGGGGCTTTTAACTGACTGGATCTTTACTCTGTTAGCCCTACCTTCAGACCAGAGAAGGTCTCCCCAAGAGGCCACTGAACTTATCTGGACAATAAGACGCTGAACTTTATGCTAGGCATGTGTTTGCAAGGAATGAATCTCAACTGAACTTGAACTATGGTTATGCAACAAGGTGGAGGAATCCGCCATGGGGGGAGGGGTATGGGAGGGGTGGGGGGAATCCCCAGCGCCTATAAAACTGTACCACATAATACAATGTAAACAACAATTAAAAAAAAAAAACCCTTGCCTGGGGTGACCTCAGACCTAAATCTTGTGTGCATCAGCCACTGCAGGGTCAGGCTTGGTCTGCCATCTGCACCAACCAACGTACATACTGGTAGGTGCAGCTGCCTGGTCAGTTCTACCCCCAGCCTCATTTCTCCTGTGAACTGATGGGTGCTGTGCCCAGCCTGCCAAAGGCAGAGTCTTCAGGCATACCAGTAGGGACTGTGGCCTAGTCAAGGCAATCCCGCCAGGCTGCCCACAGCTATGGTTTGTGTGTGTGCTAGCATGTGCTGTAGCCCAGCCTGACATGGGCAGCCTCCACTCCTGGCACTCACAGGCGGCTACAATAGCCTAGCCTGACTGGCTGGTACCCATTCCTGTTCTTACTGGTGAATGCTACAGCTTAGCCCAGACCTGGCTCTCAGGTGACCCAGCAGTTGCCACAGCATAGCTGGATCTGTCCCACATCCATTCTGGCCCCTGTGACTGCCAGCAGGTGCTAGAGCCTACTGTAATCTGGCCTGCCATCAGGCCCAACCCATATGTATGCCAACAAGTGCTGCAGCCTTGCCCAGCCCAGTCTGCCCACAGCGCTGGTTCTCGCACTCAATAGTGGGAGCTGCAGCATAGCAGGGCAGTAACCCAAGTTCCCCTACCAGACCCATTCCCAGCCCCAGATTTTGTACATGCTGACGGGTGCTTTGACCCAGCCTGGAATGACCCACCCATTGCCTCGGCTCTTGCTGCTTTGTGCTGCAGCCTAGCTTATCCATGCACAGCCCCCACCCTATCCTGGCCTTCATGCGTGCCAGTAGGTACTGCAGCCTGGACCAGCTCACTCTGCCCCAGAGCTATCCCACACAAATGCTGATAAATGCTGCAGCCTTGCCTGGCCTGGTTCAGTCCCAGCCATAACGCTGATGCTCCCCAGTGGGAACTGTGGCCTGGCAGGGGAGTTTCCCAAGCTCCCCTACCAGGTCCACTGCAGGTCCCACGTGTGCAGTGAGTGCTGCAGCCGTATTTGGTCCTGGCCCAACCTGGCCTTCTCCCTGTCCCAGCCAGGACCAGCCTAGCTCAGCCTGTCACCACCCCAGCTTTCGTGCAGTCCCAGAGACAACCCACAAATCCCCTAGGGAATCTGCCCCGGTGTTCAGATCTCTCACATTCTGGCGGGTGCTGCAACCCATCCTGACTGAGCCTACCCCCGGTCCAACACTAGCAGGTGGGTACTGTGGCCTAGCCCAGTCAGATGTGCCCCCCACCACCCCAGCTTCGGCATATGCCAGCAGGTAGCAGGAGATTCTGCTTAGCTCAGACCAAGTCTCCCACCTGGGCAGATGTCTTGGCCCAACCCAGGCGTGCCCTCTGGTTTTCCCTCTCTAAACCAAAGCAGCCGAGGCTTCTTTACTAGTTGTAAGTGTAGTGGCCAGCCCATGGAAGCCCCCAGAAGTCATTTCTCCCCTGACAAACATGCCCTCAGCCGCCCCCATTCCAACACACACACAAATCATCTTCCTTGGGCAATC